CCCATGCCTTGGAAGAGATTGTTGCAAGGAAGCTTCCCTAAGTTTACATTCAATGTATTTTGAATAATCTCCCCCTTCCCCTGCCTATATAACTCAGGCCTTATGGCCATTGTAACATACCTTTTGAAAATTAAAACATTTTACTCTTTGAGTATTATTAAAATAGTGTGATGCTATTTTAGCCAAATTCCTAATTCTATATCTTAAGAGTGGTTATCTTAAGTGTGAGTTTTAGGTTCTAGTTATTTAATTGAGTGTGTTATATCTTAATTAAATTCTAGACTCAACCCCAAGTTAAGATAAGGGTGTGTCATATCTCTTAACACCAACTTGGTTTATCCCTTCCTTATTTTTATTCTTAAATTTCGTACCTCCCCATATTCTCTTCCTAAACCTCTTCTTTTCTTCCAAAAAACACAAAAAAGAACTCCAAAAACACCTCCCATATTTCGCCCCATATACTTCCGCATTCATTTCCTCCACAAATTCATCACAAAATTAGCAACTTGATAAGACCCCCGGTTCACCCCTAACACTAGGAGTGGAATATAATGCACATAAAGACTATAAACCACCACCAAGACCATGTCTTAATAACAAAAATATGTTCTATGGCTGTTGACTACAGAACACAACTTAAATAAAAACTTACATAAACTTAAAAGACTCCTTGAATTAAAAAATATTCAAGGTACAAAAGCACAACTTCTTACTACAAAACACTATATAATTTCAAGTGTTGCCTACCATATTGCTGCATTTAAACCAAAGAATATACTCCGTGTAGATATAAGAATACAGCTAATATCTGCTAAACACAATCCATTAATAGTAATTACTTCAATTGGGTTATAAATAACAAAAGAACGCATGGGAGAAGCCGGTGCCTGATGGAAATACCTTTCGAGTTGGAGTTTTTTGCCAGTGACGGACTAATTTTCGGTAGGTATCAATCCAAGCATCTTCCGGTGGTGGCGGAATCGTGAGGACGGCACCCCTACCAGTTTGGAAAGACCCTGATGAAGCTAGGGTTTCTCTAGCCATTTCTACAGCTAAATATGTGCCCGTGCGATGCACGGCCAAAACTTTTTTCGAAAATAATACAATACCTGCAATTGTTTACTATCTCAAACAACATAGATGAAACTTCAATCACTACAAAAAAAAGGAGGCAATACCGGCAGGGGTGAATATGTTGCTAAAGGTTGGCTTTTACCAACAGATATTTGTTTGTCGCTACGATGTCGCTAAAAACTCTGTGAGTAAAAGTATTACTGACAGATTAAATATATTGTCGCTGAAGTAGTATAACAGCCATAGAATAAAGATGTCGCTAAAAAGGGGAGAAGTACCGACAAAACATTTATGTCGTTAAAACATGGATTACCGACAAAAAATAGTGAGGGCAAAATGCTCTTTTTTGTCGGCAATAGCTTGTCTTTACCAACATTAACATATATTATAACTGTCGCTAAAACTTGGATTACCCACAAAAAATAGTGTGGGTAAAACCTTCTTTTCTATCGATAATAGCTTGTCTTGACCAACATTAACATTTATCATAACTGTCGCTAATACTATGTTTTCACACCAACATGCTCTATTTCACTTTCAAAGGGATATCAACGTATTTCATTGACAAATAAAATATAATATTCATACTTGTATTAACAACAAAACATAATACGATAACATTTCAAGGGTTACAACTAACCCATATGCGAAATCATATCCTTGTTGGGTTAATTTCCAAATTGGATTCATCACTGGAGTATAATTATCTTTATTAAAAGAATATTGATCATAGCATTGGCATCTACAATATGCTTCATGCATAGTAAAGGTGTTGTTTTCAAAATGATGAACGCACTGATTGATAACATGCTTAGTAATTACTAATTCCCCCCACTCAACAATACAAAAAGAAAAGCCCTATAGAAATTTAAAGCTGGAAATCTTAATAATGTACAACAAATAAACCAGCAAAAGCACACAAACACAACAGTTTTAAAATGCTATATTTGATTTTTTGAGTGGTTCTTTCAAGATCCTATAGAATTTTATGCAAAAGAATTCTAAATTTACAAGCAACTCACTGGAATAATGCTACAAAAGCCAAGTAAAGCAATGTTATCTCTGATTATAAGAAAAATAAGCCAAATAAAGCAATGTTAACTCTGTTTATAAGCCAAATAAAGCTACTGAATGGGGCAATGTTATCTCTGATTATAGGCAAAATAAGCCAAATAAAGCAATGTTAACTCTGTTTATAAGCCAAATAAAGCTACTGAATGGGGCAAGACTTATCACCAACACATATGCTACATATATGATGATATGAGATATGACTTTGTTACCAGTCCTGTTCCGGCAATTCGAAAGAGGTGGTGATGCCGAAGCCCTGGTTGAGGTTGAGATAGAGGTGGTGATGCACGGAAAATCTCGCCGGAAATCGCTGGTCCTATTCCGACGATCGAAAACCCTAGGTCGCGCAAACTCTTCTCTGCGAGTATTCCTGCGTCTGTCCGGGAAATCGCCGGAGGCTGGCTCTGCTCACAGGCAACCCTAGGTAAGAATCGACCACGGCCGCTTCTCTCGCTAGTGTGTTAAAGAGTACGGAGTATTTTTTTGGGTCACGTGCACCAAATGATTGTTACCAATTAGGCATGTCAATGGTCGGATTGGGCTATACTCATACCTACTTTTAAAAGAAATGATACTGATCCATTGGTTCTCGGTATCGGATAGGGTATACACATGATAAAAGTTGATGCTTTTTATTTTTCTATAATTGAAAAATAATTAGTGAAAATATTATGAATGAAAAATACTTTAATTGAATACAAATAAAAATAAGACTAATACATAACTGCAACAAAAACCGGTCTTCTTTACCAAAAATCTACACCAAAAATTTTAGCTTCATAATTGGTCTTCTTGTCACATTCATTCACGGTGCAAGAATGTTCTTTAAAACATTATAGGTAATTTCAGACTATTTATTTTATGCTACTGCATAGCATAAACCAACATGTACATGCCCTTAATATGGTGAAATAAATACAAATAGATTAGGAAGTCACACAACTAGCATATATAAAATATAAGTAGTGAAGAAGAGTGGTAGGGGTTTTGTGATATTTAATATTATATACGTAGTATGTATTTAACCGGTACGCGTTTTAAACGAGTCGGGACTACTCGTCCTATACCCGACCCTTTATTCTTTTAAAATAACGGGTACGAGTTTGGGTACGAGCAAATGGTATTTTTGATACTCCTAAACCCGCTAAAAAATTACGGATTTTATACGGGTTCGGGCCCCAGTCTGTTGGGCCGGCCCATTAGTTCGAAACCCTAGCCCTAACTCTCCTTATATATATACTCCTCTTCTTGGAAGAGGAGGGGGAAAAGGGAGAAAGGAGGCTCCGCTCTACACTATTCATCATCATCTTCATCTAATCATACACATATTTCTCCTTCTTCCCTACCCTTGGGTTCCATAACCCAACAATGGTGCTCTTGTTAAGAGAGTTGAACGCATCAAGCGTGCTCTCTTTTTTCTTTTTTTTTCCCCAAATTTTTCTTTTCATTCTTTTCCTTTTTTCTGGAGAATTCATATTCATGCCACGGCCGGAACTTCCGATCAACAGCCCGTGTGCAGAGACGCCGAGATTTGCTGCACCCAAATCCAGACCAGGCTGTTCTCTGGTCGCTGAAAAAGGCTTCCCAGCGGCATCGCCAGTGGGGTATTCACTGTGGGATCCCGTCACTGGTCTTCGATTCACCACCCCTCTCAGACCAGATCTGCCATTGGCGCACGGAAGACCACCGTCATGGACGATGTCAAGGCTCATGCTACCCAAAAATCTACTGGTTCGTCAATCTCAACTCATAGATCCAGAGCGGAGAGACAATTAAGCTGCGTCATTGTGCCGCCTTGGCGAGGGTGGCCCCTGATAAACTCCGGAAGCAGCGCCCCATGGTCTCCGATTCAGACTCTGAAGAGACATGACCCAAAGCAGCTACTTCAGCGGAGTGTGGGATGAGGGGCGTTGTGCATCCGTCCCTGTTAGTGCCAGAGCTCCGGTATTCGAGCCACGGCTCTCAGCGCCGACCATAGTAGTTGGCCGACTGCGAAGCTCCCACCGTCGAGCGACGACACAGACCCAATTGCAGCTGGAAATTTGGGGGGAGTCCAGCCGTCCCGCTGGTGCTTTGAGATGTTCATGTCCGGTGATGTCCCTTTCGGGCATCAAGATTTGTTGCCTTTGTGGATCCCTGGAGAGCAAACCCATTGGAGACGCCAGATTTGTTCGCCTTCTTCGCGTGGAGCGAGAACCGGAGAGGGCAATCCCAATTGAAACGCAATATGCCGACGGGCGAACACCAGCGACGGAACCCCTTCCCTCTGGCGGCAGCGTTTCTATTCGCTGGCAGATTAGTGGGACGGACATGGAGTGCCACCTTGGTAGTAGCTCCGGCACAGCAGCGTAGTGACCCGCAACAGTGTCTAGGTGAAGACCAGGACAGGGGTAGGAACGACACCAGAACGGCCGCGGGCAGAATCCCTCCACTTCCCGGAGATCAGCCCGTGGTATTGCCGACATCTAGGTGGCAATGGTGAAGGACATGATAGCACAGTATAAGAATGACATGAAGATGACCTGGTTGCATGACCCTGATGGGTGCATAGTTTTGCTCCATTACCCGCTCTACTCCGTTCATTGGAAACCAGTGAGGATGCCGCTAGAGTTTCTGCCCAAAGTGTTGCTGCTCCACGAAGTGCCGCTGCCGTAGTTTCTGCCCGAGCAGCCTGCTTGAGTTCTCTGCCCGATCTACCCGCTGGGTAGTAAATTCGAGAGAGCAAATCTACTCGCACGGCGATGAGGACCCAAACATCAGAGCATACTCGAGGTAACCATCCCGGGCACCCATCTCCAATCCCAGTCAAACATTGGGGTTTGGAATTTGAGGTCCCAATCAGACCCCAACCCAAGAAATCAGACAAAGTCAATGAAATCGATGGAGAACTCTCGAATTCGAGCTTAGAATTCAACAATCATACCAGTGGAGGTGCAGTTGACAGTCGATGGCAGGGGAGGTTTCTTCGGTGATGGGTTTTGGATGTCACCAGCAACCAGACTTCGTACGGATACTCTATGCACTGATGCTTGAATAGTGATCTGCGCTCCAGCCCGTTAATTCAGGCAAGTGGGGATACTCCCTTTTTTATTAGAGGCTGTGACAGTGGACTTGAACAAAGTCACGTGAAGAAGCAATTATCATTTTTGGAGGTAGATTTGATGCTTTTGGAACTACTCCGTATTATTGCCCATTGTTAAAAGCAAAAGGATGGAGCAAGTGGTGTGCGTGGATGATATTCACGCAAGCCAATGGCGGACCCTCATGTTTGAATTATTGGAGATATTTCTCTTCTGATCATATGCATCAACCTGAAGGTTAGCAGCTATCGTTCTCCAATTATTGTTTTCACATTAATGCGCTCGTATTTCCTTAAGGAAAAGAGGGCTAGATTCAATATTAATTGATCGCCCGTAAGTGAGAGAAATCCATCCGGTGATATCATTATGGTGCTCACCTAGATGCAAAGGGTTAAATTGAAAGTTTGGAACGGTGATAGGGGGATCATGGTCAATTCATGTTCTGTACAATTTTGTTGCATTTCCATTAAAATTTATATAAAGGCAAATAACTGAAAGGGGATCTATTAATTGGGGTTTGCTGTTGGGGCAACCTCGTTGAGAAATGCACGACAACCATCGTCACCGATTTGGTTTTTTTCACCCGAGTTCTGAGAAGATTCTCTATTTTTCACCATCCCTCTTATGCATCTGAGATCTCATACGGCCGGGTGCGTGACAACTCCGGAGGCCGAGCTCATAATTTCTAGTGGGGCTCAATCCGAGCATGGGAGGGTGACCGAGTCCGAGTGCAAGATCATGACAAGGAGAGTTCGTACGGCAGTGCTGTAAGATCCCGTTCGGTGATGGTGATCTTAGCCGGCCGATTTTGCTGATACCGAGTGTGCTTTATTCGGCCGAGCGCCTATTCTGATTTAAAATAACTCAAGGGGCCTAGTGAATTTTGTTCCATTCTCCTCTTCATTTGTCAGAGTACATGTTATGATATCCGAGTACGATGATCTCCATCCCCTCTGATCTCACCGGGCTGCGACCCACCTTCATGATTTAGCTGATATATACACCAACTCCTTATTTATATGATTCCTACTTAGATTTGCGCCACTACTCAAATTTGCGCCACTGCTCAGATTTGCGCCATGTTTGCTTCTACAACTTGGATAGTTCAAAAAAAAGGAAAAGAAAAAGAAAATAAAAAAAATATCGCTTCCACGCGATTTCATGTTCGCTTCTATGCGACTTTATGCAGTTGTGCATCATCTGGCTTCCACGCCACGATATGGCCTCACGCGGTCCTCGTCATTGCGCGAGCAAAATTCCTCCGGAGGGTATCGCAAGGTTCTGCTTAGGACAAAAACTTGCAGTCCTGTTTAGGACAAATATTAGATCTGCTGAGATCGCACTTCTACGCTACCACGCGTCATCGGCACCACGCCGCTAAAAAAACAGAAACGACAAAGGAATTTTTCATATTTTGTCTTTCAGGTACAAAGTGGAAGACCACAGGGCATTTGCAATCGAGCCCGCCTAGCAGAGCTCACGGATGGCACAATATTTCACTCTTTTCCCGAGGTCGGCCTTAGCCGCCTCGCAAAGAACTTAAGCCCTCGCCTCCCGAGGCAACTAAAAGCCCTCTCCCGAGGTCGGTCCCATCCACCTCACGAGGCACTCAAGCCCTCGTCTCCCGAGGCAACAGAAAGCCCTCTCTCGAGGTTGGTCCCACCCGCCTCACGAGGCACTCGACTCTTCTCCCGAGGTCGGCCCCGTCCACCTCACGAGGCACTCAAGCCCTCGTCTCCCGAGGCAACCAAAAGCCCTCTCCCGAGGTCGGTCCTAGCCACCTCACGAGGCACTCAGCTTTTCCCGAGGTCGGTCCTAGCCACCTCACGAGGCACTCAGCTTTTCCTGAGGTCAGCCTCAGCCACCTCGCAAGTTGCTTGAGCCCTCGTATCCCGAGGCACCCAAATGCCCTCTCCCGAGATCGACCCCGTCCACCTCACGAGGCACCCAAGTCTTCGTCTCCCGAGGCAACTAAAAGCCCTCTCCCGAGGTCGGCCTCGGCCACCTCACGAGGCACTAAAGTTATCTACCACACAATTTCAACTCTTTTCCCGAGGTTGGCCTTGACCGCCTCGCAAGGAATATAAGCCCTCGTCTCATGAGGCATCCTAAGCCCTCTTCTCGAGGCACTCTTTACTGTCGTCCCAAGGCACACCCCCTAGCCCCCTTTCTAGGGCACAGTCTTAATTACTCATAGAATGGGCGGCATGGCCAAGCTGACCGGCCAAACCCATCGAATTATTTGCATTTGTTTGAGATTTTTTCAGGTAAATCATTATATGAAGGGAAGTCGCCACAGAGCGAGGGGACCAAAGACTCCCACCAGAGCCGAGCATGGGCAATACTCCCTTTCACCTCGGAATTCTTCCTCGGCTTAGGGAGTGGGGGACTCCGGGTACTCGGCTCGTGATTGTTACATCCCACACCGTGAGAACTTGGCAGATTGACATCTTGATCTAACGTGGCACTACGGCAATTCGTGCCGGCATGCACTTTTTGGCAATATTTTATGGCGAACAGCCCTCGACTCCGGTCAACGAGTCTGGGGGACTTGAAGATCGCCTCATATGAGATTCACACAGTTCTTTTACTCGAAGACCTCACACCCTTCTTCAATGTTTTTATTGATTCACTTTAAGGGACGAGATGTACTCTTTTCTTGACCGAGGATTTTTTTCCATCCTCATGGGTTTTTTCCTCGGCAAGTTTTTAATGAGGCATCCTCCATGGAGTGAGTCACACATTGACGAGATTGTGGGACGATCCTTGAAAACGACATATGGACTACAGATGACGATTTCCTAACCCACTTATATGGTGATCGTTGTGCTCTGGACAACAAACTGACGGTACACTCTGTACAAGATCAGATCATTTAAAGACAATGAGCAGATTAGTGCAGATTTTTCCACTTTGCCGCTCTGGACAACGAGCCGGCAATGCACCTTGTACTCATGGGTGTAGTTTCTTCCACTCTGCTACTCCGGACAGCGAGTCGGCAGTGCACTTCTTGTTGATTGCTACTACTTTCCCATTGCCGCTCCGGACAACGAGTCGGCGGTGCACCTCATACTCATTGGTGCAGACCCTTTCACTTTGCCACTCTGGACAACGAGTTGGCTGCGCACTTGATAGTGATTGGTGTAATTTCATTACAGCGAGGTTGCATTATATTTCACATTGATGGCGTTCCTTGCCTTACTCTGGACATCGAGTTGACATTACATCTCAGACTAGTGGCATTGTTTACCTTACTTCACTGTGCTCGGGACAGTGAGTTGGCGGTGCACTCCAGAGAGCAAGGAAGACGGTGTTCTTCCGTGGTGAATTATGGTTCTACTTCCACTTCACCTCGAGTTTCTCTCGGCTCGAGAAGTGGGGGACTCATGATGGATACCCTGGACAGGGGGTATCCGGCCTTTGTATAATATTAGTTGGGGTGGTCCAGTCTGTTGGACCGGCCCGTTAGTCGTTTATTAATTATTTATTTAAGGGCGGCCCAGTCTGTTGGGCCGGCCCATTAGTTCGAAACCCTAGCCCTAACTCTCCTTATATATACTCCTCTTCTTGGAAGAGGAGAGGGAAGAGGGAGAAAGGAGGCTCCACTCTACACTATTCATCATCATCTTCATCTAATCATACACATATTTCTCCTTCTTCCCTACCCTTGGGTTCCATAACCAACACTTAATATGCCACACAATTTGTGACGTGGAAAATAATAAAGTAATAATTTGGTTTGAAATCAATGAGTAAATTTATTATGGAAAAAATATCTTCATTTATATGATAATATTCTTTCCTAGAGTTTAAATATTTTGTTAAAACTAATGTACCACACCCACTGTTAAAAGGTAATTAAGGGCAACAAATGCTTTTGAGCCTCTTGTTTCTGCAACAATGAAAAACAAAATGGTGCACATTTTTCATCACAACATGTACAAATATTAATTACTTTGTTTAAGAAGAAATACCTGAATCTTTTTTTAGCAAATCAAAAACTTGCCTCGATATTTATTTTATATTCAGTAAAAACTACCCAAGTCTAGATCCATACTAATCTTTAAAGAAGATTGTAAAAAAAACTTGCGTAAATAACAAAACAGAACCACCTTGATTTAGTGGTTTTGGGAAGACTTTGGAGTTTGGACAAAATCTAAGGATGGAAAACAATAAAGATACCATAAAATAAAAATTACGTCACTGCAAAGTGCTAACTTAATAATGAGAGCATATAATGAAGAGTGTCCATGTCTTACATTAATCTCTGCAACGGAGAGATATCATTTCCTCATCATTCTCACCATGCTTCATTGCAGCTTTAAGATGCGCCTACAAGACTCATTAGCACCCTAAAAATGGAATGATTATTTTTATAATGTACTCCCTCCGTCTCAATTTGAAATGTCTATTTCGGTTTATGATGTTTGACTGAAGTTATTTTCAAATCATTTCACATGAAAAAATAGTGTAGAATTAAAAAATAAAAATGATGTAGTAGATATTTAAAAACTAGATCAAAAGATCTACAAAAGCTAGTAGAAGAAATGGATAAAATACAAGGACTAAGGGGCTATTAAGCAGCAATATTGCATAGTCACAAACTAATAAACCATATCATACCTGCTCAGTAATTTTGCTTAAGGAATATACCTTCTCAGAGAGCGGTAACCTGTATTCAAAACTGTAGACTTAACCCACAGGCCATCCATTTACCCAAACTTGAAGCCCTTTTCTAAAACCACAAAATCCTGAAGCACTTCAAAATCGCATTGACAAACGTAGAAACCCTTCCGTTTGCAGTTAAAGACTACACCATTCTTTCAATCTTTGGGGATAATTGAAAATGGAACTTATGACTGTTTAGGGATAATTAAATCCATTGTAATGAAGTAGATACATCTTCACGAAGAGGTTGAGATTCTTTTTATAAAATAGGAGATATCTTTACCCTTCTGTGCAGTGGAATTGCAGAATTGAAAAAGTAGAATTGAAAAACTTCTATGGACGAAATTTTCATTGTATGAGACAAATTTTGTGAAATAAAAAATGTTACAAATCTTGTAGCACACTTGGAAAAACAACTAACCCTAAGTGATAATCAAACAATATGAAGTAGTTTGTACTTTGTACACATGTATGAATATTCACTTTTTGTAACCTCTGGTTTTAACTTTTAATCGTCTTTTAGAGCTATGACGACCATCTTTGCCAACCTTGACAATGTGTCATTATTAATGCTTTTTTATTGTACATCAAGTGTATTATTCAAGCTTGAGTGAACTTCAATATAAAAAAAGTAGAAAATAAATCCATCCCAAGGACAACACACATATCATGCACTATGCTCACAATTTCAAGGGTACTACACAACCTCAAGCTAAACAATATAAGAGTGAAAAGGGCTTATAATTAAAACTTAAGATCTATTAAGACATAGAGAAGCGCAAACAAATGCAACACAAAAAGTAAAGCAAAAAAGTCTCTAACTATGAAATCTATTCATTTACTGTTTCACCATTATTTCATTTTAACGTTCTTACGGCTAAGCATAAAAACTCTTCTAACTTTTTAAGTGACAAATCAATTTTGATGTTCTTGCAATAGATTCTCCATTATAACTCTCTTTATGCGATCTGCAATTTTATTCACCACTCAAACTAGAGGTGGCAATCGGGTCAACTGTATCGGTTTCAGGTGTTGGAAAACATTTTCACTTTGACATTTTGCTAATGACAATGTTTGTTTCCGTTTAGGTTTTGATATTGACAAACCGTCGGGAACATGGAACAAAATGAAAAGATTCAAAGAGATAGAAAAAGTTCTTTGAAGAAACAAAAAGCACAAGAAAGGCATTGACGCTGCTAAAGATGGCGACATTGGCGCTTTGAAGACGTATTCTAAATACTTAGGTTTTTATTGTAACAAGCTCATTCAATTTCTCTACGTCATGGCTCAAAACAAAATATGTTTTTCATGCATCAAATGATTGTTTTCATAAATGGTTTTTAAGTTTCTAAAACTCATGGTTCTTGCTTAACCAAAACCATAACCATCGGTTATCGGCGTTCGGCTATGGCGTTCGGTTTTCGGCATTGGTTATTGGCATTGATTTTAACCCAATGGTTTTTGGATTTTTATCCTTGGTTTAAGCTTCTAGACACATTAAAAGGTTTTCCAAATCATTATTTTTCAAAAACCATAACCTTTGTTTTTTTCAGCGTTGGTTATCGGCATTCGGCGCTCGTTATCGGCGTTGGTTTTTGGCGTCCAAATCAATCAAGTGGTTTTTAATATTTTATGATTGGTTTTTACTTCTGTACATATCCAAATGGTTCTCCAACAAAAACATGTTAAAAACCACCTTTCGTTTTTGGTCTTTTGGTGAAAACCATGTGAAACGGCATAAACTTGGCTAGCCGTGGTTTTTACCTTAATGAAGTGGTTGTTAAGTTTTTATACTTGGTTTCTACATAAAATACATTGTATATGAGTTTCCAACACTTGGTTTTCATTTTGGAGAACTTTGGTTTTTGACATCGGTTTTCGGCGTTGGCTGCCAAACCATGGTTCTGGCAAACCATCCCAACATGCATGTCGGAAATCCCAACAGCGATGTTGGCCTTCAGAAGCCCTGGGCAGTAAGTTTTTGAACAGCGATGTTCATGGTTGAACATCGATGTTTTCAAATGACCGTTGGGCTATTTAAGACAAAATCTTTCCATTTTTGAAAGTCAAACACCCCAACATCGATGTAGACCTCTAGACATCGATGTTTTGGTGACCGTTAGCCATTTTTAAAGGAAAGTCAAAGCCAAAACAGCGATGTTCACTATATGAACAGCGCTGTTAGGGTAGATTTCAGCAGATCCACTTTTATTTGGTTTCCACAAATCAAGCCAATCAACCCCAATCTTCTCCCAACCGTTGCACCTTGTTTTTGGGTATAAAAAGGGGTCTCTTGGGTATACTTTTCACATCCATTCCTCACACATTTCATAGCTTTACATTGCATCATTCCATAAACTTTTTACATAGCTTTTTAGAGCCATTTCTTGAGGAATTGAGTGTGTTCTTGATCTAAATTAGTTTACTCATATTCTACTCTTTAAGAGAGTTTTTGTTCTTGAGTGGTTAAGTGTTGTGAACACTTTAAGGGAGGTTTGTTCCCTTGGTTGTACGAAGGAAGGGCATATTCCTTCGGGTTGAAGTCTTGGAGTGC